CGGGCCACGACTACCCTCCCGCGGAGCGCGGTGCGCCCCAGCCGTGGATGACCGTCCAGCAGCACAGGGAACGGAACAAGCATCTGAGAGACGGCATCTCGGAGCAAGAGTTTGTCGCGCTGCGGGAGGAACGCGATATGAAGCTGGCGGCGCCGAAGCTGCTCGACCAGTCGCTGCAGATGAATATTCGGGCGGGACGGCTTCCGAAGCCCTCGGACTCGGGGCTGCGTATGCTCCACCTTCCGTTGAAGCTGAAGTGTGAGGAATGGTGAGCGAGGTGGATGGCCTGAGCAGTCTCGTACTGAAGGACTTGTCCTCTCCATTCGAGGATTTCGTCGAATGGATTGTTCGATTGTATTCGCTAAAGAAAAGTTCAAGTTTCATAATTGGTGTTGTGGTCTGTTACTCTTCCCCCTGCTCTTCCTTTTTATGTTTGTATTTTCTCTGCTATCAACTCCTCACAATGTGGAAGAGTCTGCTGGCTGAGATCATATCCAAGTGCTTCCTGCAGCTGCGGGAGTGTAGGTGTGTCTAGTATCTACTGTCAAACAACTGATATCTATGTACTCTTTAATAATTTCAGACTTTGGGTGGATTTTGCCATCACCATGTAATTCACCAAGATCAAAGTTCCCAATAGTTGGTGACTGCTAGTCTTTTAAATCAATCGGACACTGCAACAAAAGTTCAAAAAATGGTACATCTTTTTGTTTTTTTTTTTTGTTTTTTTTTTTTTTTTTTCCCACAAAGTGCTTGTTTCTTGCACCATGACTATAGCTCTAGGCATTTTCTCGTATTATTAAACAAATCCTGACAGCTATCAGCCTGTCAGGTAGTCTCCATAGTCTCCGACAGCATAAGTCTATAATGAAGAAGAATGACAATACTCCGCAAAGACTCTCTGGATGTAACGAGTATCTTTTAGCCCTTTATCTAGCTACCGCTTCCTCGCCACCCAGAATTGCACCTTGCAGCCATTCACGTTGAGAGCCCTCTCATTCGAACCATAGATTCCAGGCTTTCCACCTAACCGTCTTTCGAGGAGTAGTCTTTTTCATAGACTCTTTGCAGTTGGAGACTGTGAAAGCCCACTATGGCACTATCTATCTATCTGCCTAGTACTGTCCCTGAAAAAAGAAGAAAGAAAAGTTATTCCTCAGGGTGAACTCTTGTCCCTCGATTATCATTTCAAATATACAAAATGCAGGAATCAAGCTGTCATTAATGTTGCTTTAAAGCAAGTATCAGGATACATCTATATTCTCCAAAATTTTGCAAAGTCAAGCAAGTCTTGATTCTCCTTCTTATGACCAGAAAGAGAACAGATTGCTACAATTGTGCCTGGAATACCGACAGAATCAGGGCATTTCTTCTGCTGCACTGACACATATCACAAGACAGCTTCTCATTGCCCACAGTCAGTTTTGTTGCTGATGCATGGGAAGTAATGTCACTGCTGTTCAATATTCTTTCTCAAGAGCTTTTAACGCGCATCTGTTGCTGGTATTCATTCAATGCCTTATACTTCTTTAGATTTTTCTCTCCTTCTCATTTCTTCTGTCTAGATCAGAGTGATCCAGCTCAGACAAGTTGCATATCCATGTCCACTCCACTGCCTTTTTTATAGTGGTCTTTAAGGCCCTAGGCCGAGTTCAGTTGGAGAGTTGTCAGGATATAGTAAGTTGATTAATGATGCTGTATTCCTTAAACAACTGCTGATCATTTATGAAATATTTTATCAGGCATTTAAATATGATGTGATTTGTTGGTGATTTGCACTGAAAGCACAACAGAATTGATGTGAACTAAGTGCAGAGGGATGGAATTGGTGTTAATGATCAATTATGATCTAGTTATTGCAGAGTTGATAGACCATGATACTGAGATAATATGAAACAGTGTTGAAGTGAGAGATGATTGACTATCTCAGCTTGTCAGTTGCAAGTCTGGTAGTTGATGTTGAAATCAAAGTTGATACTCATCTGCCAACTGACTTGAAGATGCTCCATGGGGATCAGTCCAAGATATGCATAGTTGTCCATGTTGTTGAGTGGACTGTGAGATTAGCTCCATGAACAGAGTGGTCTCTTTCTTTGTTCTTGGAAGAAGTGACAGGACATGTTTGTGCTTCTAGATCAAACTGTAATTTCAGATTTTGAGATATTCAATAGATTCTGAAAAAATGGGTGAGAATGCAGAGAACACTCAGTTTGACACTGATGACACTGGCTGGGCCTCTTTCTCCACATCCATACTATCCAAAAGAAACTGATAGCGATGACCCTGTAATCAGATTGAAGAGCCTTTGTCGTGTCACTTCTGAATACAACTCTTCTTGAGGGCATTGCAAAAAATAAGCATTCACTTTCCAGATGAGGATGTTAAAATGCTTTCTTGAAATCTTGTTCATTCTTCGTCAAGGTCACCATTGCTTGCTGAACTGCTGCCTTGAGCTGAGCTTGCGTAGCCACTTAGTTTTTTGTCATTTCTCTGGTATCTTGAGCATTCAGCTAGGCTGTGTAGGAGGAGGCATCTAAATCCTCGTTCTTCTCGAAGCCATACAGTAGGAACGGCAGCTCTCGGAGCGCGAGCGCTCCTGACCTCGCGGTCAGGTTGGGTCAGGGTCGCAATCAGCTCCTGGAGTTCTACCTCCAGGGAGCTAGCCGCGCGGTCCATCTTCCGAAGATGGAAGATCGCATGCATTCTATTGGCATAGTGGAATGGATGGTCCCGCGAGATTTTCTGCATGCTGGCAAGGCCTGAAATTCCGCGATGAATGCGAGATGTCGGAGTCGATGCACTGGCAATAGGGCGCATCGGAGTCTGTTGTCCACACAGCCGGACACCGTATGAACCTCTTCATATACTGGGGTTTTACCATTAGAAACCCATATGGAATGACAGTCATATCATATTTCTGGCCAAGGCAATTTTGCACACAAACATCAGAAGTTGTGAGTAGTTCAATTTGAAAGATATCTGAGAGGTTAGCATTGCTCCAAGTTGCAAGATGCAATGCTGGTCCACATCACCATCTTTCATAAGTTGCTTAATACACCAGACAAAAAGGAAAATGAATTGACCAATCTCATTGAATAGAGAATAGCAGGCAATCTGCCACAATGGCAGTATCTCAAGTTTGGTAAATGTCTTCCTTCCGGGTGCTTGATATTAATCAGCCTTTGTTGTGAGAACTGGAAAAATAGCACTCACTTTGAAATAAATTGTTAGACCTCCTGCTGCCTGCAGAACCATGTGCAACACTATGTAACTTAATGCACAAGTTAAATCTGATTGTAAAGTTTGAGTAAGAAGAAGCTGTTCCAATATTGTAATTCTGTTGTCCTTCCAGGCTCCAGCATCTGGTTTTCAACAGAAATGCGGAACTCCTTGGATCACACTCTTTATTGAGATATTCAGCAGTGACATAATATCAAATGACTGCTTTGAGATTGGATGGGGTTTAGAATGCTGTGCTTCCACTGGCACAACCACCCAGCTTTGCCATAATATTTCCAAAGGCCATCTTGAGTAACAAGTTGAACACTAACCAGTTTCATCAACAGCATTCTTCATATGATAGGCATCATGTAGATGTCTTCTTGATTGATATTGGTATCATTGTGCTCCAGAGTCAATTTCATCACCTTGAGTGATGTTTGAATTTTCTGTTTGCCGCCAGCTGCCAATGGTCATCAATCTGATTTGAAGCTTGACATTGTCTGTTCCAGATTTCGCTGCCGTAGTTGGTCTCCTAGATTGCACTGGGTGGCTTTCTGTTGCGCGCTCTCGCTGAGCTCTCTTGCTGCTGGCGAATGCTCGCGTGGTTGGAGCTTCAGAGGGACGTTTGGTTCGAGTCAAGAGCGCAGACGGGACCTTCGGCATGTTAGTGAAATGGCTCCAGAGGTGAAAGGGTCTTTAAAACAAAGAAAGTCAAAAACACGGTTAATTAGTTCAAGACTAGAGAAGGCATCTGCTCTAAATTCAGAGCTCATTGAGTCATTGCTCGATGCCTGTGGGTTTGAGATCAACATCTGCTTTCACTCTTTTGCTCTTGAAATGAAGTCAAGTTGCTTCTCTGAGTCAGACTCACTTTCTCAACTCTTGAGTCTTTCTAAAAATATCTCAACTGATTTCTTTTGGAAAATTGTTTTTGTCAAATTCGCATCATCTGAATATTACTGCATTTCCATTATGTTTGAAAGAACAAGCATTAACTTGTAAGGAATTATGTTCACTTCTGAAAAGTGTTAACATGATTGATAAATCACATATACTGATGCTCTGTCTGATTAGCTGCAAGAGATTCATCTTTGTTGATTTCAATTCAAAATTTCACATAGTAGTGTGTATGTCTTGCTGAAGCAAACATTATTACATGCTTCAATTATCAACCAAATTTATATTAATCAGAAAATGCTTTTTAGTACTATACTAATGAAGAAAAATGTCAAAATGACACATAATATATAGCTACACATTGTATGCTTGCATTGCTTGCTGAAAATTTGTTGGATTATGATTTACACTAAATAGTGAAGACTGATTAACTATCACTTACAATATTTTGAGAACAATGAATCTCTAATCACATTGAAAGTTAGATTTTTTGAGCTATGCAGCCTAGCTAAACTTTTAAGAACAAATCACAGCAATTTTAAAGAAATATTAATAAAAATCAAAACATGATTTGATAAAAAAAACAAAGTTTTAAATATAAAAATACCTCTATTAAAAAATGCTGTTAATCAGAATAAAGCATTAAAGAAATTTATTCAATATTCAAAAATGAAAGTAAATACTAAAAACTGTACTAAATCTTGAAAGTTCTCAGAGAATCAGAGTTTTAAAAAAAATTATGAGTTAAGTAAATAAAAGATTGCTTTTTTCTCAAGACATGCTGTAGTTACTGTTGCCAGAAGAAAAAATTTCTTTAATACATAGTTTTTCATTTACCTGCCTCCTTTGATTTCAAATTTAATTTTTTCAAAACAAATCAAGCCTCCGTGGTCTAGTTGGTCATGACGCCGGTCTCATAACCTCAGTATGACGAGTAGAATCACTGCTTGGCAATCCGGAGGTCACCAGTTCGAACCTGGTCGGGGGCATTTTAAATTTTGTTTTTTTTTTTTCCCGGCGTTCTTCTTCTCCTCCTACCATTGTCGTCGCTTGGGTATGTAGTTACGGTGTCGGATCGATGAGCATCAGATATCAAGATTCTTCGCAGAGGACCTTTGGAAGCGCAATTACAGTGTGGGAAGCAAGTAGAATTGAACTCAACTGCTATCGTCATCCACACAACATACATATATCCAAGCAAACAATGAATTACCTCCCAGCAGGACAAGCGGTAACTATAGAAAATATGCAAGGTTAAGGGACAAAACGGGTCCAAAAGACACCCAAAGCAAAGTCTTTCTTGCCGCTCGCCATCGCTCCTTTGCCAACAACGATCTCAGTATGTATGTGTATGGTGTGTATGTATATAAATGCGCTAGTCTAACATTTTAAGACGGAAACAAGAACCAGGCCAATCGTCCAATGGGCTCAAAAACATCAAGAAATCATTAGACACTTTTCAGGGTGAAATGACAAGGTCTTTCAAAAGCATGAAGAACTAGGCTTCCATCGCGATTCTCTTTCCTCTGATTATGAAATCAAGTAACGCTTTCTTTGCATGGGCCAAGGCGAAAGGCACAATGGTTTATCGTATCGGTATATCAATCATTGGAGCTATTCAGCAGACTGATAGTGGCAATAACATCCGACGGCTCGAGCAAATGCCAGCTTGCCTCAGTTTGTTTAGAACTTGCACCAACAGTGACTGAGAAGACCACATCTGCGGGAAGATTGGAACGGCGAAGAGAGCGGAACATATCTGAAACATTAGGTTAGCTATCGAAAAGGAAAAAGATAACAGACTCGGTGGAATATCAACATCTCACCTTCATCAGTAAAGTCATCACCAAGACATAGAACAAACTCTGGCTGCCCCTGACACTCATTCACCAGCCTCGACGCAATTTCGCCCTTATTCACAAACGTCGGTCTAACTTCCAGGTTCGCTTTGCCAGCCATAATCTCGACATCCCATTTTTTCGTGACAGTGTTTTCCAAATGATTTCTACATTCTTTGGCCTGATACGTTCCGTACTCAGGATCAACACGTCGATAGTGCCAAGTCAGAGCCACGCGTTTTCGCTCAACGAAGGACCCCTGTGTCCGCTCAGTATAATGTTGAAAGATGTCAACGACTTCTTTCTGCCACCCCATGTCAGACTTCTCAGTTAGATTTTCCCAAGTCTCGCTATTAGGTTTACGGATAAAGCAGCCGTGTTCTGCACTTAGTCCAAGTTCGGAAATGTGGCCCATCCATTCTTCAAGGAAGTTTTGATCCCGGCCGCTGATGATCCAGACAGAGTTCTTTGGATCAGCAGCAAGAGTCTTGAGAGTTCTCACAACCCGGTCCGAAGGTATTGCCGCCTGGGGGTCTTTCACAATAGGAGTTAATGTACCATCATAATCGAACATGAATAGACGTGTTCGGGCATTCCGATATTGACATAGTAATTTCGCTTTGTCGAGGACTGGAGTCGCAATCGACTGATTGAAGGACGAGAGGTTGGTTAGCAAGCGCCGTACATACAGGTCTGACCATCTTGACACAGTATTCGTTGTTACATATTTATACAATGCCTCGTGCTGTTCTCGCCGCCTTTCAGCGCTCATCGTAAGTGCTTCGTTTATGGCGGCTGCAACTCCTCCCGAGTCCCAAGGGTTGATGTTAATGGCATTATCTAAACTTCCAGCAGTACCAGAAAATTCTGACAGAATCAGGGGCCCATGATTTTCGTGTTGGCAGATAATATATTCCAGACTGGTGGTATTTATGCTATCGCGGACGCTGGTGATAAGCCCTACATCTGCCGCACGCAGAAGTGCAAAATATTCTTGCTGCGAAAGGTATTGTGGATAATGCTGAACCGGAGAGAAACTGAGTGAGCCATACTTGCCGTTGATAGTCGACACAAGATATGACATTTGGCTAGAAAGCTTGGTTTCTGATTCTTCTTTTTCTTCTTCCACACTGGTCGGGCTCGTGACTTGGATAAGAACAACCTTATCACGCCATTCGGGATAGCACTCCAGAAACCTTTCAAACCCCATAAGTTTCTGAGTCACACCACGGGCGGAATCGAGACGGTCTCGGCCAATGATGATCCTTTTCCCAGCGTACAGCTTCTTAATCTCCGCAATGGTTCTTTCAATGTTCTTTCCCCCGTACGCCATCTTCCGGACTGCATCCACATCGATGCCAATAGGGAAAACGTCCACAGCGACATGGGCACCGTACGCATCAATTCCCGCAGAATTGGATTCGAATCTTAGTATTCGCGTACAACACGAAGAGAAATGACGGGAATACGTGAACGATTGGAATCCAATCATGTTGGACCCTAAAACGCCAGTGAGGACCTCTTTTCTTCGAGTCAGGCAGCGGAAGAATTCGCTACTGGGGAATGGAACGTGCAAAGAGAAGCCGATGTAGATACCAGGGATTCGCTGTCTCAAGATGCTGGGGAGGATGAATAGGTGGTAGTCGTGGATCCAGACGATATCCCCCGGCCGATAGACCTCCAAAATTCGATCTGCAAAGAGCTGATTCATGCGTTGATAGTCCTGCCACCAGCGGCGCTCTGCACGCCCATCCGTCGGGCCATGCTGCCTGTAGTGGAAGAGTGGATAGAGTTCGCGTTCGGCATAGCGGCGCCACCGCGCTTGGTCTTTGAGATGAAGAGTCTGATCTGGCGATTCCAAGGTATCGCTAAGCCAAACGGGAAGTATCTTTCCGTATTTGCTCGACTGCAATTGCTCTTCGAGCCGATCCCGATCTCCCTTTTTTACGTGAATCCCATCACCTGGCGGTGGCAGGGGTTTGTGGTTGGCATCGACTGGAATGGGAGCAGAAGCCTTGCTCAGAGGCATCATAGCAGTCTCAAACGATAGCGATTCGAGACCCGCACTTGCAACCTCTCTTTTTTGGAAATACGAATCTTGTAGCGTTGACTTTTCCACCTCTCCGGTCCATCCAACGAGAGTGTGAGACCATGGATGCCCTGATGCAGCAAGATATTCAAAGGAGCTGAACAGGGCAGACGTTCCGGGGCGATGAAGAAGTTCCTGTAAAATTGGTTAACGTACGTTCCAACACCGAAATAAAAAGCGACTCTTGAAAGCCTTACCCAATCCAGACCAGACCGGAAGCGGAGTTTATAAGGGATACAACACGCGACGCTAATGATTCGCCCTGTTAAATGGAGATCTGCGTGCTCTTCAGGACGGGTCACCGCCAACGGTGTGAGTTTGCTGTCCACTAGACTTAGACGACGGAGAAGTTCTCTCCCTGACTTTGCTCCCTTGGCAGCCTCTGCAGGAGTGCCAGGAGATTTAGACAATGATCCATTTCCCGTACCAATTGTCGTAGTATTCAAGTCTCCTGGGGCCTTCACATCGGTAGTTTGTGACGAAGCTTTGTGGTTCACAAAATATCCATCAGTAATAATCTGGTTGTTGTCCGACGGAATAGCTGGATTTGATGGCTGTTCGTCAGGCACAACGGTGGATAGAGATGCCATTAGCGAAGGATTTGGGAACGGGGGATGCAAAAGATGTATATGTCGACTGTGGAAGTTCTGTATGGAAGAAATAATTGTCAGTCCATCCAGATTGAAGCTCTCGTCCTTCGTGAATTGTACAGTAGCATGGAAAAGATATCAAGGCACGAACCTTATAAATGTCACTACGTACATAGAGATTTTCACGATAGACTGGAAGATGATTGTGGGCAAGAACGATGCCACAGCCACGAAAGGGCACAAAGAGAGAATGAAATCAGAAAGAAACCTGAAGAGAGAGAAGGTGGTCGTCGTCGTCGTCGTCGTCGTTGAGAAGACAAAGTCGCGGGGCACAGAAGGAGTGACGAGATGCGGATTGAGTTCGATTCCGCCTTGGCTGAACGGACTAGTTAGTTAGTATGTAGTTAACTTGTAGTTAGGAATGTATTCGATGCCTTTTGGCTGATAGTCTTTCCCTTGTTCTAGATGAGATGTTGTTGTTCATTCACATACTCAACGAGGGGAAACGAGCTATTGACTGGGGACTCTCCAATGACCACTCCTGTTGCTTCTATGTATCGACGTCACAGAATCTTGAAGAATCTCCGAAAATAATGATCATCACCGTCGATCAGTTATATATTCCGGGATGCCACGACAACGAAGCATCGAGTATCAGTCTATCAGCGACAAGCAATTTCCTCACACGCGTTTCCTATAAAGAGTTGTCATTTGGAAATCTCGTCATTTGCTGAACTTCACAAAGCAAACTCCTCTCGGATTCCTGGCGGTTCATGGATCAAATAACCAAGCACAAATTCGATCAAGCCGCCAGCGTGAGCTCATTGCTTCAATTGATCCTTCAAAGATATGTGGTTTAGCCTCTTCCTTTCATCCCGAGAAAAAGCCCTGTCGAGTCTTCTCATTCTTTGTTCATGATCGCTGACAGTATGAACAGATATATTGCAGAGAAGACTATCATTCCCATCCCTCGCCTCTGTGGCTATTCCATAAACCGCGATAATGTCCTAGGCCTCCCAATCATAGAGCTCTCTAGCTTCTATAGATTTGACCCGTTTGGGTCAGGACAGAGAAAAATATCTTCACCGTCAAATAGCCGATGTTTATATCCAACTTTACCAAAGTTTCGACCAAATCGGAGGGACTTGGTCTTGATGAAAATGATGAGCACTGGGTATTCACAAATAATCACTCTTTCACTATTGATATCAATGAGCAAGAAGTCAGTGGACTTGATATTTGTCGCTACCTGCCTCCTCATCGAACATTTGCATGTGCAACTGATTATGTCTACATGATCACAAGGCTGATATTCAATGATTTTTATCACAGCTGTGATAAAAATCAATTTATTTTTTACTTTTTTGCATTTATCTTCATCTGAATCAATGAAGAAAGCCTGAGCACAATGTGTATCCCTGAGTAAAGTTGCATTTGGGTAACTCCAACATTGCAACGGCGATGGTGCTAGC